GTACAATGAAGTTGGCTGATGCTTGCACCATTGAGTGGAGCAATGATATTAATCTAATACTTCTGAGAAATATTTAACCGGAAATTGATTGTTTTAATTGAATTCGGGCTCACATAAATTAATGGGATGTATACTTGCAGTATCCAAAGTCAATGCTACTTCTGATTCACGACCAATGAAATTTCTTTTGGCAGTATCCACTGTCCATAATGGTACATTAATTTGTTTCACGTTAGTGAAATGTCTACATGTAGTATCATTAGTTAATAGTATATTCAATGGTATAAGTCTAAGTCTAAGTCATTGGGATGTCTACTTGCAGTATCTAAAGTCAATGCAAATGCCTTTATTGGTTATTCAATTTGTAATCCATTGTTCTTTATTTATAACTAACTAGCTGTAACCCGCGGGCTTTGCCCCGTTTAACTTCTTAATTTTCAAGATTATCTCGTTCGCATGGCTCAATCACGTCCTGGTTGAAGTTTGTTCGCTACGCTCACTCACCTTTAGGTTGGAGCTCGTTCGCTACGCTCACTCACCTTTAGGTTGGAGCTCGTTCGCTGCGCTCACTTGCCTTCAGGTTAGCTCGTTCGCTACGCTAACTCGCCTCCAGGTTGAAGTTCGTTCGCTACGCTCACTCACCTTTTGGTTGCAAATTAGCTGTTGTCATAAATGTAAAAGAAATAATAGTGCTGCACCCTGTTGGTAATCCTTGTAACTTTAATGTTATTGAACATCATAGAACAGAACCAACTTGTTTAATTGAAACAGCTGTTAAGATTCAATAATTCCATTTCTCATAAGGTTAACATGGGAAACTCCAGAGCCACTGGGGCGGAGCCCGAAAGTATTTTTGAAATAAGAATATGCCTATATGTTAATCGGGAATGTGAGCTATCATCATGCCAAATTTCAGCCCAATCCGACCAGTATTTTTTGAGTTTACTTTTCCCATACACACATACACACATACAGCAACCACCTCTTTTTTATTAAGGAACGCGGCAGCGTTCCGCCCCGCCAAGTCCCCCAGCGGTACACAGCTGCTGCAGTGTATATATACATGACGTGACAAAGTGGCTTTTTTACTCGTCTATAGCTCTGAAGAAACAAAAGCTATTAAAATAATTGTTCATCCACTGGATAGGGGCAATCATTCTTGGCAAAATAAAAAAAAGAATTTAAAAAAAGGTTGTGTTTGAGCCAAGAAAAACTAGTTTGAAAATTCACAAATTTTCCTTGTTCTCCTTCTTCTCCTTAAATGTTGACGGACCTACAGCCCAAACCACTGGCTCAATTTTAATGTTTTTTATGTTGTTTGAAAGCCCTTAGCGTGTAAATGTGCCTTTTGAGGGTCACAAGTCGGTGCGTTGACCCATAAACCCTTGGCAAGCCCTCAAAGTACGATTTTGGCCCATTTAAATAACATGGGATTAAAATCAAAACAAAAGAAGGATCAGCTGCGATTAAATCTCAATTAATTTAAAATGTTAGAGAAATTCATAGGATCAGCTGAAAAATTATTTTAAAACTTTTATAAAGTACTAGCTGTGTACCCGTTCTACGCACGGGGATCTTATAATATTCAGTTGAAACCTTCTTATATAAAGAACAGCAGTTGGTTTGCATATTTTAAGATATGCTGGCCAAACTATTATACATAGCTTCATTTTATGTTGTTTTTTGTTGTTCCGGATCGGTATGACAATCAATAAAAGGTTAAATTACCTCTGTGTCTGCCGGTCGATCCTATAACGGTAGGCTTACTTTTATTTTTACTATCTGATCTCGTTTGCATGGCTCAATCACGTCCTGGTTGAAGTTCGTTCGCTACGCTCACTCACCTGTATGTTGGAGCTCGTTCGCTGCGCTCACTTTCCTTCAGGTTAGCTCGTTCGCTACGCTCACTTGCCTTCAGGTTAGCTCGTTCGCTACGCTCACTCGCCTCCAGGTTGCAAATTAGCTGTTGTCATAAATGTAAAAGAAATAATAGTGCTAGTGCTGCACCCTGTTGGTAATCCTTGTAACTTTAATGCTATTGAACATCACAGAACAGAACCAACTTGTTTAATTGAAACAGCTGTTAAGATTCAATAATTTCATTTCTCATAAGGTTAACATGGGCTTCCAGAAATTCCACGTCAAAAATCGACAAAAACTTGATTTTCAAGGGTTTACTGTTAAATATCTAACTGTCTCATATTCGATGAAATACGTCTAAAACCATCTCATATATGTATAGTATTTGGAAAATAAGTTTCAGGCGGGACAGTGCTATAGTTATTGAGGAGTAGTTGTAATAAAGTGCGTATTTTAGCGTTACCAAGAGAATGACAGATAGACAGACAGACAGACAGACAGACAGACAGACAGAAATTGAGATAAGGTTTGATTCGGTTTCTCTGACCTATGAAATGTAAAAATAACCAAAAAGTTCATTATTCTAAGCAATGTACAGACAAAACTCTAATTTTATTTATATAGATTTTTTTCAGGTATACCGAATGATTTGAGCTACTTACTATATAAAATTACTTAGAGCAGTGATATTCCCCGATACTTTCCATTGAAAAATGCAGTGTACCGATGGTACACTGGTACAGCAGCTCGTCATTTTTAACAGTTTAATACTACTTATCAAAACATATGAAACCTAGGAACTTGAAACTTAGTACTAGTACTAAGGTTAGTTTTAACATTGTTTCTTCATAATATTGCCAAAATTTATTTAACTAAATAAGGTTAGTTTTATGTTTTGATACACTAAAACAAATAAAACAATCGGGAAAATCCGTCTACGTATGTTAAACAAGCAAAAAAGTGAATGTAAAAAGTGATATGTAAATTTAGGATAAAAATGAGTTTTTCAATATTTGTTTTGCCTTATGCTATTTCTAACAAACCTAATCTGTTTGATTACATTTTTACTTCTCTAATAAGGGCTCAATTTACACTAGTCTTTAGATATACGGGTTTAATTATCGGAACACTTATGTAACACCAATGCATTTTATGTGTAGTTGTGCCCTGGTCTATATATAAGAGAAAAGAGGATTTTTATTTTAACTGTTAATTTTCTACAAAAATAAATACAATCTAACAAAAAACCACTAAGTGGTAACACTTCCCCCGCCAAGTCAGCAACCCAAAAAAGACAATAAATCACCACTTTTCCGCCAAGTAAAACAATGTAATGTATGTAAGTTTGGCCACTTGGCGGCAGACTTTTGCTTGATCACTTTAAAAAATACCATAAAATTAGTTTCATTGAGCAAGTATCTCTCCCAATAGTACATTGCTAGATGAGAGCTTATTTTACAAAATTTGACCTTATTTGTGTCACATTTCATAAAATCATAATAGTGATGGTTTTATATTTACTGATTACCTCGAAATTATTATACTTAGTTGGACTAATTAATTAGAGAAGTTGATTTGTGAAATTATCCACCAACGTAACTTTAATGAAAAAAAAACAAGCAAAAGTCTGCCGCCAAGTTGCCAAACTTACATACATTACATTGTTTTACTTGGCGGAAAAGTGGTGATTTATTGTCTTTTTTGGGTTGCTGACTTGGCGGGGGAAGTGTTACCACTTAGTGGTTTTTTGTTAGATAATAGTATAGACTAGCAGAGTACCCGTCCTTCGTACGGGGTTGGCAAATAAGTATAAAATGCTTATTGCAGTTTTACCCGATCTTTGCGTTTGCGATGTGAGAAAACACGATTTGAAAAAATTTGCTCATCGAACAATATTTTTGTAAACAAACAACTCGTAACATAAACATTTCAATGACAGTTATAAACCAGCTGTCAGTTAAACCAGCATTGAAAATACTTTAAATTGCTAGCGTCGGCTGCTAGACTTAAAAAAAAATCTAACTTAATTTCTAAAAAACTGAAACCCTAAACTGAAATTATGGCTTCGACATTCCCTAGTTCTCAAAATTATCTTTCTTTCAACACAAAAATCATGAAAATCCGTCAAGTGGTTGATTCAGAATCGTGAAATAAAAAAAACCTGTTTCGTTTTAATATTATAGAAGATAGATAGAAGATATGCTTTGTATGAATGTTTTGAAAATAAACATATTAATATGTTACATTTATGTTACAGCTCTTTTGTTTACATTTGAGTGTGATTTATCAACCCATAAGGCTCATGTTAAACTTGTTTGGATTCATGTAGGGCAAAGCCCTGAAGTCCGATTTTTTTTTCACATCCATGCCTTCCCATAGTTGAGTTGGTTAACTATAACTATAGATAAAACACAATCCCTGAGACTTGTGTTGGTTAGTCTATGCTACAACAATGACTGTGCTAAATTTCATGCTGATCCCTTCAGCAGTTCAGGAGGAGTATTTGTACAACAAAAGCAGGAGTGTAGTAAAAGATGCTCCAGGATTGAGTACTTTTTTACCAACCAAATCAAATTAAATCTATTTATTCAGCAAGAATTAACAATGCAAGTTGTATTGATGAAGTCAGCAATAAAAATAAAACATGGCTTACACAAATTTCTGTAAATTATTTACAGATACTAAATATACAGAGCATGAATAGAGTCTCCATCAGAGCAGTCTGTTTCTAATTTTTTGGAACTCCATTTTTGAGTATATAATAAACTCAGGAGGATCTTCGGAACAACCATCTGTGAATACTAAGTTGTTTGTTGTTGGTGAGTTAATCATATTTTCCCCCTGTTCCTGTATGTACGATAAAACTTAAATAACCATACGTACATTTTGTTGTAGATCTTTAGGAGTTTCTTCCAGAACAGCCCCATTCTTTTGTAAGCTTGATGGGCATGATTTAAACCTCATCACTAAGTATATTTATAAGGTCTCTTTTCATAGTAAAATCACAACCTATAATTTGTGGTGCGTGTTTATTGCAGTGTTCCTTATTCCAGGGTATAAAGCAACTTCAATCAAAAAGGAACCAACATTTTGGAAGGGTAACTAACAAACAACGGTTATAAAAAACAAATTCGATTTATTTTACATACCGGTACTTAAATATTAATCTACAGAAGACACATTTCATTCAAAATAAATCACAAATTGACTTAAGTTCCCTTGGTAAAATACAACAATCTATACAACTAACTTATTACACTGTTTTATTCATTTATATACAACATAAAAATACAAACTAATCATTAAAGGAACTAGATTCCACTTTATAGTATGATCAGTAAAATTATATTCAATATTGGCAGAGATCTATATATTCTATAATATTATGGAATTGTTTTTTTGTAGTTAAATTACTACAGTGTACAAGAACAGTCCGAGGTACCTATACAGTATTTAGTATACTATTTGTAGATAAGTTATAATTTAAGAATAGTAGTCTATTTTATAGATAAGGGGCGGTGTAAGATATTATTAATAATGATTTCTTTCACTTTAGGATTTCTTTAACTATTTTCATTGTTTGTTAAATTCTAGGTATCTAGCCAATTTCATGAGAACAAATTTCTGATTTAGCAATGTTCCAGCTGAAAGTTTAATAGGTTTGTTAACATTTTTTAGGTTACGTTACTTATTAAAGTAAGCTATAAGAAGATACTTGTTGATAAACATTCCAGTATAACACATCATTAATGAGTAGCTCCCTCATAATGTAGGGTTTTCTGGTATTATGATGTGATATTACTTATTTCATACTTTCAAGACCCGCTGTATGGGCAGTGTACAACCAAAATAATTATTGAGAAAATCACATCCAAAAATTGGTTTTGGAATTTGTCAATTTCTGTTTTATACAAGTTTATAGCTAAAGTTAAAAATAACATTCAGTAAATTCAACAATTCAACTATCTTTCAGCAGCATTAATCGTTTTTGAATGATATGTTTTGCTTTGTTTATACACAATTTCACAGTTTCATACCTATAAATACACTTCTTAAGCTCAATATTTACATTAGTGGAACATTTTGTACACCAAGTATATAGGCCTATGCATAGATTTTTTACAATAGTATGCGTATTAATTTAAGAAGGAGCAGGACTTCATTTAATTGAGTCCCTATTGATTTTTAATGTGGTTTTTACTTTGACAATTAACAAACCCAGAAGGTACAGTATTCACAAGTCTTTAAGTAGGGAAATATATTGCTAAGTATGGATCTCTGGAAGATGACTGTGTCATTAAACATATAAAAAATAATGGTAGAAGATTTGGATGCTTTAAACCATGATAGGGACAAGCTACAATTCAAACTCAATTATATATGCAATCAAAACTTCAGCCAGCATTTTGCTAGTTTAATGACGGGGTCATCTCTGAAAGGCAAAGATTCCTTAACTAGCACTCAATCAGAAATTTTCAAAAAAAAATTTAAAAATAAAAAAAGTATAAAAGTTCTTTAAAATTTGAAAAGTTATAACTTTTACAACCCTAATAAAATGAAGACCTAAGTAAGTTCATTGATAAGGACTACTCATTTCTTTTACCTCCTGACTTCAGGTATTGAGAAACATAGATCAATTGGAAATTTTATTTCTTCAGAACTTAATTTTTGTTTTGTTCAAAAAGACGATGATAATGGAATTTGTGTGTGAAAGCGTGTTTCGGTTTAAAAACACTTTCTGCTGTCGGTAGGGCCGCTTTAGTAAATGGGGTGGGCCTGGGCCCAGAGAGAAAGGTTTTAGGTTTGTTAGAAGGCGAAGAAAAGACAAATTCCCACAGAAATGGGACACAATTTTCTCTTGAGCTCATCGCACATCACATGCAAACCGCTATCGGCAGTGAAATGGTCCTGCTCCTTAAGCATGTTTGACTTTATAGACCTAAAATTTATACTAAGTGATAAGAAAGGAATAAAAAATGTAAAGACTGAAGCATGACCATCATTGGCCTTGGATCACAAGAGTAGGAATGTCATTTGATATGCAATAATTAATAGTATACTCTAAATTCTAGTTGAAAGATTGGTCCAACGATATAGCCAACTTGTTTCCTTTTTCCACCCAGTTTTTCAATCTCCCCCTCAGTTCCTCCAGTGATTTGGACTTTGCCTTGTTGATCCTCTTGTACTTAACATCTTTGGGTTTCGTAACAGATCGATGATTGCTCATTACTCTGTTATAAGTGGTTACGTGGTTTTGTGGCTCGGGCGGTTGGTCTTGGTCTAACCGTTCAAAGCTGCCGTAAAGATCCTTCAGTCGTCCCTTGTGTGTTTTACAACTAGGCTCTTCAATGCCAGAGTCAGTTTGGTTGGTTTGATTCGAGGATTGCGGTTGGTCTGAGTCACCGTCTTCTTCGACACTGTACACTGTTTCTAATACTTCCGGTCTCCTGAGGAAGCCGTTGTTTCTCCTCATGGACGAGTACTTACAACTGAGTGGAGTGTCTAGAGCGTCTGATACACTACGGATGACTGTTACGCCTTCCGAGGTGTGTCGGAAGTCATCATCCTCCATTATCACTGCACTGTCACTGTCGTTGAGCGAGTCAAGGTTCGTCTCCTCTGCGCACTCCAGCCCTGCGTCTATCAGTCGACTCTGCAGCTGTTTGATGGCTCGCTGCTGCTTAATGATGATCGCGTCTCGCTGCGCCAGGAGAATGCTGATGTCGTGCTGCTTGCGACAAAGCCGAGCCTCAAACAGAAGCAGCTGTGACGACAAAGCCCTCAGCTGTTCACTGCGATCACGAGCCAGTTTGCTGAGCATATCCTCCTGGAATGGAGAGAGAAGTAAATCAGAACTTTTTCAAAACGTAACTTACGCTAAATGTAGGGAAACTCCAATGGTAAAAAGTATTGCAAAATATTGCCGATGTTTCATGTGGACTAGAAAGAGATTTAGTCACCTCAAATTATATTTCAGCAACTCCAAATAATTGTGTGACAGAAATGTTAAAGCACCATTGGTGTGAGCAGACACATAGCATCTTCAGACACTTTCAAAACAGCATCCCTTTTAGCATATATTGTTAATCTTTTAATTCATTCACACTTTTATTAGTTAATTTGATCTATCGTGCCAAGATATAAGTCTTTTGAGTTTTATTACCCAAAAGTTCCTTATCATTTATATATGAGTAACTCTCAGGGGGTTTGTATATCCAAGAGAGTTTTCTACTTTATAGCTTTTTTTAGCAGTACGGTACTTATAACTTTGATCACAGTGTCAATCTTCAGACAATCACTGCAACCAATCTGCTGAACTATTAGACTTAATTTAAGTACTGTTTGCTATTTGTTGCACAAAGGCTAAAGAATTATCAAGGAAAGGATAGACTTTAGAAATAAAGGGATAAGAAGAGAGTTGGTTAAACTCAAGTAGAAAAAGAATACCTACTAGAAAAAGGAAGACTAAGATAGTTAGGAAATGCGAGTAGAGAGAACTCCAAATGAAATGGAGCTGATTGTGAAAGAGAAAAAGAGTCTGGGTAAAGGACTTCAAAGAAGATAGATGAGATGAATATGGATGTGAAAAGCGAGATGAGTATGAGTATGGTAGATTGGAAGAAGAAGAACTGTGAAGGAGTAGAGTATAAACAGAGAAGGTTTTGTATGTGGTATGTTTTCTCACAGTGCTCAAACTAGTGACTCAGTATCTTATCAATACCATTACATGATCTGGTATCTTATCATGAAGGATGACCATTGTACAAAAAGATTACTAATTTAACAAATATCATATGTATATGGACACAGGTGTATTGCAACCCGCATAAACTAACCTGAGCCTTGACTCTCCTTTTCCACGCCAGCAGTTGGCGTGACTGCGAACGATGACGGTCACGTAACTCTCTGATGACTCTCCTGGCCTCCTCCAACGTGACCACCCCCTCGTCCGCCTCCGTGGGGCAGACACTGTCCTCAACCATGGAGCCTCCATCCTCCAAAGTCGAGGCACCATCTTCCAGCGTAGACATTCCGTCTTCCTCTCCGTCTCCAGGCTGGGAATCACTGCAACAAAGTAAGTATGGTTTATTGATTTTGCTTAAAAATGATTTGCAAAGGAAAAACTGTATAAAAGCTTGAATTATAAATACCTATTATTAAAAGAATGAGCAGTCGTTCAATCTTGGTCTTTATTGGTTCTTGATCATGCTTATGAGAAATACCGTCCGATTAATTACGTTTTGGATGAGTTTCTGTAAAACGTCATCAGGGCAAGATACAATCGAACTGTACTTTTCAGTTAAATGCTGCAAAGCTGTACTTTCGATGAAAATGGATTCTTGCAACACGTTTGAAACGTCCAATTTGAATACCAAGATTCTAAATTTTACTTTAACTTTTTACTTAAATTTTATGACAATCAGTAAAAATTTTTAATTTTTGATGGGGGGGGGGTGCTGTCCCCCATGCCCCTCCAGTAACCTCTCATGTTAGGTAAGTAGAAAAATGCCATAGGCTATTCACAAGCTCTCCCAGCCGAAAAGACACTCTTAAAAGTTCTTCCAAATAAAAAGTGGATTATGTTTCACAGATCTTTTGGTACTTACGTATTATACCGACCACACCTAATAATTATAACCTAATCCAACCTAACCTAAGGGTGGACTATGTTTTTGGTTAGGTTAGGTTTATTTTGTTATTTAAGCTAGTTAAAATCTTATTTGGAAGTCGATTCATCGGTCGGTATGACACGTGAGTCCCGATTTTTAAATATCATTTAACAAAATACAACTTCACAACTCTATGCGTTGGCAAAGAAAACCAACTTTATTAGACTTTTAAACCTTTGCACTTGTAACTAATTTAGAAAAATCAATGATTCTACAGAACATCAAGATGTGATGAGCCTCGTGGTGGACTACGACGCGAGAACAACGTGTTCAAATCCCGAAACATCCAGCACAAACATTGCAAGGGGTTTGGACCCCATTTCCAACGAATTACTCTTATAAAAAAATGCCAGTTTTCTGAAGAGGGTTAAATGACACGCAAAAAAGCTTGGCAACAAACCATACACTGCATTGTAAATTGAGGGACAGAGGCGTCCAGTTGCGTGTTCAAGTTTTAATTAGTTCTGGGAGTAAATGGCGAGCGTGAGGACTGAGGAGAGCCGGCGAAACCAACGGTTAATTACGATGTAATATGGTAATGACGAGTGTTCAAAAAACAATGTGAACGATTTCCTCGCTTCAAACACGGTTGTGGTGATTTATTATTGTAGGCAATTCTAGTTTGGAGGAAGGTTGATGACTTCGTTGAGTCGTTTTTGATAGAGATCTGTATATTTTTGTAGTTTGTATTACAGTATCTGTGTATTATCTGTGTATTTGTATCTTTGCATCTTGTCATCTTTGTATCAAAGTCACGTTTGGTTAAAATGTCTTAAATGATTAAGCCTTTTATGGTGTTTCTCAACTGAAAGCGAAATACGGGCGTCTATATGTACGATCCGAAATAAATCTCAAAAGTTAAAGCAATAGCTATAAGATTGCTCCAGTTTAGAACTAGCTTTGAACAATTTTAAAGTTAATTAATGTTAACAATAAAGTCTTGATACTGTGTTGTTTTCTAGAACCATCAACTATTCACCTCATTAAACATATGAATTCCTTATTTAAAATACGTGAAGGCGATTTCTACGGAACACTACTCCTCCGATAATAATGGACGGATTTTTACAAACTAGCCTATGTGTAAAAATTAAGTATTTTTTGTATAGAAGCCCCCTTTCACCAAATCCTGTAATAAAAGTCTTCGGGCTTCGCCACACAGGACATCAAAATCCCCATGTATTTCTTGTGAAGAAAAGATTTTGTTTACTTAAACAGACGAACAATTTGTATTAGTTACAGCTGTTCATAGTAAACACACACGATGCACACAAGATCATTCGATTTCACAGTGAGTTCGTTTTCAGTTTCGATAACTGAAGTGGAGAGGGCGTTCGTTTTCAGAGTGAGTTCGTTTCCAGTTTCGATAACTGGAGAGGAGTGATTGATTAGGCTACATTATTTTTGAGTTGACTTCTTTTAAGTCATCGGAAATTGTGACTGTTATTTGTTTTGAAATATAACACCTGTAATACTTTACAATTGCTCGAATTCGAGCAACAGGTGAACTAGTAATATTAAATAGTAAAATTTTATAGGCCTAAATATTTTGATCAAACAAATCTTGGAAGTACCATTGCAATATACGTTTATTTGATGACGCAGGCTATTATTGTAATTAAGATCACCAATGTCCATTCAGATCGATATTCAGTTATCTTAAAATAGGGAACTGTCAGTTTTGTTGAGAAAGATTTCTCAGAGAAGAGAAACACTTTCTGGAGTGTCTCGAGACAGAGTACGCTACTGACTGGAAAATTGATCCACTTAAAACTAGCGAGACGGAACCGGAGAAGTGGCAGTGTTGCCAACTTAGGGCAAAATAAAATATAGGAATTGTTATTCATGACAGGAAATAGTGAAAATGAGACAGTAGTTGATGAATAATATTGGATCGTGGAGTAATTTGTTACAGTAACAAATTAACTGCAAACTTAGCTATTAAACAATATAAAAGATATGTGTTTGGAACCCTTGATCTTTGGACCCAATGGCTATGACTTAAGAACCAGATCTGATCTTAATCAGTGGCTAAGTTGTAATTTCTTTTGTTGTAAGTAACTATGTTATGTATTCTTAGTTCTTGCAGAAATATTATATACAGGGTGGATTGGTACATCTCAGTGTGACAAAATTTTGTTGGTGTAAGTACAAAGTAGGCCTAAATGAAGTGTGATGATGCATATAAGAGGTTCCAAGTCTAAAAATTAGCTTACCAATGAAATATTTTAAGTTTTTAAAAAAATAACCATGTTTTTATACTTAGGCCCTAATACAGCAATTTCTCAATTACCTGTAAATGGATTTGAGTAGGGAATATAATTATCGTGATCTACATTAAACTTTAAATATGATTAAATAAAATGACGGAGGATCAGTAGTAAAAACTCCATTATAAATAGACTGAAAGATAAAAATCATGGTGCTTGATAAAAATTTAAAAAATATTGGTCTATTGCATTTTTATACACCTTGACCTTGTATACAAGAAGGTGGTCATATATGTTATAAACTGGTTAAAACACTTTGGATCTATTTACAATGACATTTTTACTATTGCTCCTCCATATACTTTTATATTATTCTTATTCAAAATTATAGAAGAACACGAAAACTACGTTATCTAATCAAATCATTTTACAGTTAATTGAGAAATTGCTGTATTAAGTTTCAAAACAAGGTTATTAAAAAAAAATTTAATCATTCTTTGGGAAGCCAATTTTTAGACTTTAAACCTCTTATATGCATCATCACACTCCATACGTTTTACTTACACCCACAAATGTTTGTCACACTGAGTACCAATCACCCTGTGTATAAAAATGTCTAGTTCAAAAACCAAGAAAGTAATTATAATCCCCCCGCCGTAGCAAACCTGCCGACTAAGCAAATGTCCATTGGTCTGAATTAAATTTCAATACAATCTATTTAAATATAAATATACAGTATACAAATTTGAACGAATCGTGTTTTTGGCCTCGGGGGACATCAAAATGAAAAAGTAAATCGGTCTCGGGCCTAGGTCTTACCGTGCCACCTACAGTAATAGCTGCCACCTACAGTAATAGCTACTATAGGGAAATTCGATAAACACAAACATCATCCATTTATTCGACCTCATCGTTTGCTTAATTTTACATGACGCCCTAATTGGCGTCCAAAAGCTAATATTATGGGAAATTTGCTAAGATATCAGAATTACAGTAAACGCAAAACTTTTTCGACAAAACAATAAAATCGTATAAATGCAGCAACAGTATTAGTGGCGACGATTGCAAACGCAAACTGTAGACGACGATGACAAAAGACCCGTTACTCAATGCAGCGGTCTGAGGTCTGACCTGGTTACTGAGCCGCATCTTGTCTCAGACCTCGGGACCTGGAAACGGTGGCTCAGTGGCTCATCTTATCTTTCCGGGAAACTAACATTCCATTTATACAAATTGCTCATTAGCTAGATATAAAAGTGCTGTATTATCTAGGCTACTTCAAACATTGCATTTGTTTGAAATTGCCTTGAATTGAAAGTGTGAAAGTTTCTCTTCACATAAATAAAGTTTTTTAAATATCCTTCAAGTACTCACGTGTTTTAAGGAAACAAGAGGGGAATAAATGCAAATCAACAGAGCTGGGTCACCGAGTGATTATTAATTATTACTAACAATCGGTACACCGTCGGTTCGATCCTGAGAAGTCAGTTGGTTGTTCGATAATTGACCCAGTTCATGATTATTGGGCTACTAAAACATACAATCTATCTTTGTCTATGAACTATGAGCTGCATTTTAGTTTACGTCCTACACTCATTCGAATGACTATATCGATCGATATACCGATTATTCGATACATCAATTATTTCAATCGATTAGTTAGGTTAGGTTTCAACCTAACTATCCAAACTTGATATAACAAATGAAATAATCGATTTAAAAATCGATATATTCATTCAGATGAGTGTAAGACGTAAACTAAAGTGCAGCCCTGCTGGCGTAATTAATTTGCTGATTGCTGTGGTGTTGTACACAGAATTTTTATGGACACAAATTGAAGGGCCAACTGGTCCATATAGAAAAGATATGCCTTCTCCACTAAAAACGCCACGGAGACTAGAACAGAAAATAATATTGATCATAAACATAAAAAAAAATTACGTCACTGGTCCCAAACAAAATAAGTTTATAATTAATGATTCTATTTTGTCTGTCAAATGAAAACATATGACAGCCAAAATAGAAAACAATACCGTGATAAGGCTATTGATTTTCATTCAGGCCAGTGACATAATTCGTTTAAGGTTTTAATCATTGACTATACACAGAATATACTTCCCATGTGATATAAACATTTACATATGAAGCCAAGAAAATATATGAAGTTCGGGACCATCTCACCAGA